CCACGATCACACACAATGATGTTACCATCGTCATCAACGTGTACTCCACATGGATTACTTAACTCTCCATCCCTGTTACCATGGTTACCAAAGGTTTTTACCAATGTCCCTGTTGTAGTGTTCACTATACATATTCTATGATTACCATAGTCTACTATGACTAAATCTGTATCATTCAGAAATGATAAACCTATAAGATTATACAACTGTCCCTGTGCATTACCTTGACTACCATACGTCAGTAAGAGATCTCCATCAGTGGTGAATACATGGACACCGTGAGAAAAACAATTGGCAACAGCGATCCTGCTATTGTCTATGTTTACTGCTATACCTCTCAAATAACTAGAACCTATATTTATACCTTTCGTGTTAAACTGTCCTGTTTTTCTCATCTCTTGTGGCTTGACATTCACCACTAGTGGACTGTTAGACACAGGATTCCCATTCGCTTGAACCTCTGCTGTCAACTGACCAGGTACTTTAGCCATGAATTCAACTTCTAATTTACCATCAGTTCTCACATATTTCTTTTCTAGTTTCACATTTTCTTCAGGATTGATTTGAACGTCTATAACATCCATTGGATCAGGAATGAGTTCCCCTGTCGAGGTTTTAATTGTGCATATTAGCTTTTCTTTCCTTAAAGCTTCTGTCTCAGATTTCACCTGAATAGTGCTGTTCGTATGGTCTGTTTTGTAACAAGTACGTATTTCTCCCAGCCCTGAATTCACTTCTTGCACCAGCTGCTCGTTAGGAACGAACTCAACTCGAGAGAAAAGTGGAATGCGGTTGAAGATAAATTTCTCTGAGTACTGTGTCTCTTGAATGTTCAACATTTCACTTGCCAGTCCTCTTTCCATCACATTCTTGATGTACTCCTTGACGGCTGGAATATGATGAATTATATTCAAGTTTGTCGTAGCTGTTTCCAATTTCTCATCTATTTGTCTCAGCAATTCTCTTTCGTTTTCTTTTAGAATTTGGATGATCTTCTTGGTTTTTTCTTTGGTTTTGTCTTTGACTTCTTTTTTGGCTTTTTCTCCTTGTTGTTTGATTGTGTTAGCGATCTTTTCTTGTGCTTGCTTTTCCTTGTCATCTAATCTCAACTGCTCTAGTACCTGCAGATTCTTTGACAATACAGCTTTCTTGATCGAAGCAAACTTATCTAATGACATTGTCTCATGTTTCCTGTGATCGTGTTTCAAGCATGTCACGCAAATCATAGCATCACAATCTTCGCAGAAGAACTCTAGCCTGTGACGAGGGTGACTTGTACAAGGATTTTCTCTTGTTATTATGAACTCAATATCTTCTTTCTTCAAATCAGCCAGACGAACGACCTTGTGATCTTCGGTAAACTCTGAATGGTATTTCTTGCATTCCTCACACATCGAGCGATCACAGTCAAAACAATACCAAGGTGCTGGAGAATGGCTCTCAGAAACAGAACAAATCATTTCCCCTTCTACCAACGCCAGACCCTTCAAGATTCTTGTATGAAGTAGACTAGGCTGTAGATCTTCGACGCTGTTTGGTTCTGGTAAAGAAGTTGGTAA